TTTTTTTTGAACTATTACCATCTGGCAGACAGTGCAGAGTAATAAAAACAAGGACAAATAGGCTGAAAAACCGCTTCTATCCCAGGGCAGTAGCTCTTTTGAATTCTGCTGTATAATGCAGTGTTGGTGTGGTGTTGGGGGTTTCTGGTTCAATGTGTGAAGGGTGAAGGATGTGTTTGTGTTTATTTTCATGGTCATGGTCATGATGTGCACTGAAGATGGTGTTTGATTTCATTGTACGAGGTGCAATGACAATAAAGTAAAGTAAAATTATAGCTGGTGCTGTCCAACACTTCAGCCACTGATAGGATTCAAATCTTCCCGCCAGCGGCTGAACCAATGAGTGGGGTCTGACATCAGACTCCACTTTGCATATCACGTAAACACATATAAATACAGCGTCGTGCCTATTTAACACCAAGTGCTGTACATATCATCATCCCTGGGCACTGATGATACCTAATTTGGTAATGAAATGTTGGAGAGCATCAAGGTCCCCACAGTTCAACTGTGAGCAGCTACTTTTTTGAGACTGTCTTGAGGTACAATCAAAAGTTGGATGTAAAAGGAAAAGGTAAGGAAAAGTTGTAAACTCCTGGAATAAGTCATTAAGAATACTACAGGGAATTCTTCATCACCAGGAAAAAACACAGAGAGACCACGGTGTACCAGATGGTTCTTCTGCCTTTCTGTAGAAAAGAGCTCACCAGCCTCAGGGCTGTGGCCCACTTATCAAGTCATGGCATATTCGGAACTGCTCGTGCGGCCTGGTACCCCTCTCTATATCCAAGCCAGACTACCAAGCTGCAAAGTTTGGGGACCGCTGCCATACAGCAGAGATCTCCAACCTTGGCAACTTTAAGACTTGTGGACTTCAGGTCCCAGAATTCAAAGCTGGCTGAGGAATTCAGGGAGTTTAAGTCCGCAAGTCTTAAAGTTGCCAAGGTTGGAGACCCCTGCCATAGATGGTTCCTTAAGTTGATTTGCCCATATAATTTCAGTGCACTGTGCTTTGTCTTTATCTAGCTTTATCAGATAACAGATAATCAGAGTTGGAAGGGACTTTGTAGGTCATTTAGTCCAACCCCCTGCCCAAGCAGGAGACCCTACACCATTTCTGATGGATGGGAGTCCAATCTCTTCTTGAAAGTCTCAAATGATGGTGTTCCCACAACTTCTGATGGCAAGCTGTTCCATTGGTTGATTGTACTCACTGTCAGAAAGTTTCTCCTTATTTCCAGGTTAAATCTCTCCTTGTTCAGTTTCCATCCATTATTCCTTGTCTGGTCTTCAGGTGCTTTAGAAAATAGCTTGACCCCCTCCTCTCTGTGGCAGTCCTTGAAATATTGGAAGACTATTATCATGTCTCCCCTGGTCATTCTTTTTATCAGACTAGACATACTCAGTTGCTGGAACATAGTTCTTCATATGTTTTAGCCTCCAATTTCCTAATCATCTTTGATGCTCTTCTCTATATACTTTCTAGTCTCACTGTCCTTTTTACAGTGTGGTGACCAAAACTGGATGCAGTACTCTAGGTGTGGTCTTACTAAGGCTTTATAGAGTGGTATTAGTACCTCACTTGATCTAGATTGTATCCCTCTGTTAATATAATTTAGGATTGCATTAGCTTTTTTGGCGGCTGCTGCACACTGCTGGTTCATATTTAGCTGGTTGTCCACTAAGACTCCAAGGTCCCTCTCACAGTTACTGCTATTGAGCCTGGTTTCTCCTTTGGACAGACACATTTTGTCTCTGCACCTCTGACCAGATTGATAGAAACTGTGTAGCAAGGCATTCATCTGGACCAGCTTTCCTCCACCTTAGGGGGCTTCTGGGCACTCCAGCAGCCTCAGCACTAGCAACATGGCTGGGGAATTCTGGACGTCGCCGCCTTCATCTCCAGAAGGATCGCTTAAAAGAAGGGATGATTGCTTTTAAAACGTGTCATACTTTTCTAAGCCCCTCATCACGAACCAGCCTACCTGAAAGCCAGGTTGTTTGAGGAAAAAAAACCCCAGTCCAAGCAAAGGTTTTTTTAAAAAATATCTTTAAGGTTCTGAGGCTAAAGGTGTTTGATGATCTTCTGAACAGTTACTTAGGAATCCATTGAGCACACATTAAACATCTGCTGATGTTCCGAGCAGTTGCTAAAGATGCAGCATTTGAAAAGGTCACTGTTGTCATTTACCCCTCCTTAGAATTCCTATTTATTGCTATCAAAATGTGAGGCTAAGATATTTCTTAGCCTCACATTTATATATGTATATGTGTGTGTGTATGTATATGTATATGTATGTATGTATATGTATATGTGTGTGTGTATGTATATGTATATGTATGTATATATGTATATATGTATATATGTATATGTATATGTGCATACACACACACACACACACACACACACATACATACATACTCTCATTTTCTGAGATTTTCTGTTCCTTCAGGGATTTTGCTTATCTTGGAGCTTAATCCCAGATTTCATGGTTGTTTTCTCTGATGCTGGAAAGGAAAAGGGGGAAAAGAAAAAACCCCAAGCCACCAATTTCCTTTCTCCACTTGTGTGGTGAAGATCACATGATTTCCAAGTTTTATTGTAATCCTGGTAGGTTTATAATAGATAAACAATATTTAGCCTCCCATTTTCAATGTGCAGGAGATTTATAATTTATTTTGTTAGTGTGTGAACAGGAGTCTCCAGCTGCAGAGCAGCTGTTGTAGCAAAGCTGCACAGCAAGAGCTAGAAGTATTATTTGGGCTTTCATCAAAAGGGACAGAAATTATTTGAACAGTTAAGGAAAACAGTTTTTTTTGTTTTTTGTTTTGTAGCATTGATTTGATTTGTCATTGTCATTTGGTTTCAGGCAGGCTAATAACTCAAATGGTGCTTCTTGTTTCTGAAATGTGTTGAGCATTAGAAAATAAGACCTCTGTGACAGAAAGAAAGCCAGGTGATTAAGGCAGCAGGCTAGAAACCAGGAGGCTGTGAATTCTACTCTTACCAAAGGCACAAAACCAGCTGGGTGACTTTTTGGGAAGCGTCTCTCTCAGCTCTAGGAAGAACTAGGCAAGAGCAGGCCATTCCTGAAATTTCCCCCCCAAAAAACTGCAGGGACACATGCAGGCAATGGCCAAAAGTCAACACTGATTCAACAGCAAAAAGAAGGGAAGTAAGAAAAAGGTAGAAGAAGCTGGAGCATTGCTTAGAAAAATGATAGCAATGTTCATCTTCTTCTTGTGCCATAACTGCCATTGGGTGTTGGCGATCATGTTGGCAATCCTATTTTTATCAACAGCCGCACGAAAAAGGTGCTGCTGGGTTTTGTCCAAACTGGTCCCTTAGAGTTTGAAGTCATGATGTTCTTCTTCTGCCTTGACCTCGTTTGTTTTCAGTCTTTCCCTGGAGGATTAAGTGAAGTAAGCCGTATTTTTCTAGGCGTCACACTGCATGTCCAAAATATTTTAATTTTCACTTTTTAACAGTTTTGATGATTTCCCTTGGCTTTCCCAGGCAGCTTATCACCTCCTCCTTTCTGACTTTGTCAACCCAGCTTATACGTAACAGCCGCCTGTAAATCCACATTTCAAATGCTTCTAGTTTCTTCAAGTGCCTTTCTGTCATGTTCATAGGTTTACCCAAAGATGCTTTTTCCAAAAGACAACTGGACTTTGTTTTGTTTTTCTTTGAAAACATTTTGCTTCTTCTCATCTAAGAAGCTTCTTCAGAACTTTAGAAGTAAAACGTTTTCAAAGAAAAAAGAAACCCCCAAAAGTCCAGTTGCCTTGTGGAAAAAGCACCTTTGGGACAGCCATGACTTGGATGATATTCACAGGTTCAGAATTGCTTTTCACAAGAAGAACAATCTCACTATTAGAAGGTATTCTTTGGAGGGGCAGTTGGGCACTTCATTCATGCAGCACATTAATTTGAAGGAAAACAAGGGGCTTGAAAGCGCAAGTGTGCATTCCTGTAAGCACCTGTTCGTAGTCCTTTATACCTGCTGCACCTTTTCCCGGTTGCTGCGTGATTGTGGGAAAAGATGTGTTTGACTTTAAAGGGTTGCCAACTGATGCCATAAAGGCGCCTGGTTTGTTTCCCACCACCCAGGGGTCCTGGTGTATTCTGTAGCCTGGTTTTCCTTTTGAATCTAAAATGCTACACAAATATGGGATGCAAATATTTTTACTACTGGATCTGTGGGCATGGCTAGGTGGGTGTGGCCCTGTGATGGGGGTAGGCATGGCTTTTTTTGCAGCAACACACCACCACTCCCCGGCGCTCCATGTTTTTTTGCCTTCTGGGATGTTTTTGCTCCCAGGAGGCTTACCCTGAAGCCCAGGAGGCAAAAAGTGGGGTGTGGGGCGTGGGCAGCGCAGCACCCCCCTGTGCTCCATTTTTTTGCCTCCTGGGCCTCAGGGAAGCCTCCTGGGCAAAGCACTAAGACAGTGAGGGGGATCCCGGAACAGCTGATTGTTGGAACAGCTGATCGTCGGGAGGAAAAAAGAAAGAAATACCAGTTCGGCTGAACCGGTAGAATACGACCACTATATACAATCCTCTTAAACACCTTGGTTTGTAACTTATTAGCTTCTAGGTAAGAGTGACTTCCATTGAGTACTAAGTAGAAAAGCAGAACTGTAAAAATAGAATGGGATTTCTCATATAAGGAGGAGTTTTATGAGGACAAGAATCTCATCTGGGATGGCACCTTGTTTCTAGACTCCTTTATCTTAAGAATCTCACCAGACATTTTGCTCTGTCTCTTTTTAAAGACCAAGAGCTACTGCTGAGGACTCTGGGGATGCTTTTACTGATTAATGAGATTCACTCTGGTCTTTTAATGTCCCTGTTATTTGTTATTCAATTACCTTAACTGAGAGCCATCCATGAGCCAAAAGTCAAACCTGAGCTGTCAAACACCCTGTTCTAAGGAAGCAGCTCTTTAAAAGAGGAAGTAAAAAGGGACAAACGCAACTACTTTTTCGTTCTCTAGGTAACGTGGATACAGCAGCAAGAAGTTAAAACAAGAGTGAAAAGACGAGTCCAACGGAACCACCGTTTTGTTTCATTCAACGACCCATCTTGGCCTGAAATGTGGTACATGGTAACTATACACTTTGTGTGTGTGTGTGTGTGTGTGTGTGTGTGCACATATGTGTAAAGAGCAGCTTATTGCCATAGGAAGCTTAAGGTGCCCTAATCTTGGAATGACATCACCAGGAAGTCATTTTATTCTTCAAACTCAATTTTATTTTTACTTTCTTTATTTTGTTTGGCTTTGTTTTATTGTGTTCTCCTTTGTTTGCTTCTTATATGTATACATTTCAATTGTCTTTATAGTGGATTTATTGGCTCTTATTGCATTTGAGCCTGCTTGAATGGGTTGTTTAGTGTGGCAGTTAGTTTTGTGATCATCGACAAGAAAATAATATCATAATATTATTGGAAGGACTCGATAGGTGGACAAAAAAACAGCCGAAATATCTAGTCGACAGGGCCAGCAACCATCATAATGGTATGTGTGCTCAAGTACATGCAGATTTGCAATAAAATTAATAGTTGGGTAAGACAGGCTGAGATCCCTCTTTGGTATAATGAAATGCAAGTTTTATCTACAGTGATTTCAGTTTGCAGGTGAACCATCCTATCTTTGTGGGATGCTAGAAGAAGCAAGCCAGAAGAAGCAAGTTCTACAAATGAGGGTTTCATTCTCTATAGTTATTAAAAGTTTTCATACTATAAAAGGCAAATTAAAAAAGGAAAGAAAGAAGGAAATAAAGACAGACAAGGAGAAAAATAAGGTTAAAAATATATGAATGATTCCCCATCTTCTAGCCACTTTCATGAGGCCTGTCTCTAGTCTCTGGGTGGTATTAGTGACATATTTTGCGTCTTGAATGGCTGATCTTAGAAATTTGAATTCTGCAAATTCTAATGATCCAAAATTGGAGAAGGGGCCCAGCTGGGCAGCATAAAGAAACTGTGCTATGTGCTTGGTTTCAAATAATTTGACGTCTGCAGGTATATAGTGGTAACCTCATGTCTCAAGGACCATATACCAATGGTTCTCAACCTATGTGGTCCACGGACCCCTGGCGGGTCATGATATCATCATAAGTGGTCCACGAAAGCTTGATGCAGTCTGGTGCTTTAAATCTTGAGTTAAATCTTGGTGGTCCATGGCCACAGAAGATATTTACAGGGAGTCTGTGGTGAAGAAAAGGTTGAGAACCACTGCCATATCAATATATATATAAAAGCGAAATACCACTCACGCATCATCACAAAATCTCCAGAACCATAAAGCCTACAAACTTGCCATTTACCATGTATTGGCTTCTAGGTGCTCACTAAGAAAGGATTTTTTGAAAAGACCATCAGAGCATTAGTATTTTGCATATTATTATTAACATGCTCTGATGCTAAGGAATTCTACTCCCCCTCCCCACCTGAAAAAAATCTGTTCCAAATATAAAACGTAAGCAGAGGAGAGGAGTTTTAGTTTTAGTTTCACAGCACCAAGCAGCTTTAGTACAGAACAGTTGAGCTAAGCCGTGCCCAGGCTCCTTCTTGCTCACACAGCAAATACTGTTTCAGTTTCCAAACAGCCCTCAACTCTCTCACACACTGACAGGATGCTAGCCAGATAAATACCTATGCATGCTGGTAGGCAGAGGCAGAATTCCATGCCCCCCTATTTTCCTCCCAAAAAACTAAGCCCGACCACATAGTTTTGTAGCAAAGCACGGGTATCGAGCTAGTACAATATACGACCTACCACAAATCTTTTCCAACTAATTATCTATAAGTCCCAATAAAAAGAGAGAGAGAGAGAGAGAGAGAGTTTCATTCTCTCTGGTTTCTACCCACCCCTAAACAGCAAGAGAACTTGGAGAGGCAATACACACAGGCAGATTGATATAAGAGCAAACATTCATTCAGGGTTTGGGGTTTTTTTTTAGTCCTACGCTATGCAGGACATTTGTTGGTATGAAAACCACCTTGGAAATGGTCAGGGTGTTCCCGAAAGTCTTAAAATAACAGCAAAATAGGTTGTCAGCGATTTGCTTGGTGGATTAACTGAAGCTGAGCAACTGTACTTTGGAGCTTGCTGCAACTCCCGTACACTCTTCAAGGGAAGTTTCACATCTAATGCTTTTACAGTAGCCGATCTTGCCAGCTGATAAGAAAAGGACAATAACTCCAGCCAAGGTTGTTTCTGTGATTTGGGTTGCAGCTAAGGCATCAGGTTTAAATCCAGAAAAAGGACCTGGGTCTGAACCAGTGGTGGGTTTCAAAAAAATTTTACTACCAGTTCTGTGGGTGTGTCTTGGTGGGCATGGCTTGGAGGGTGTGGCAGGGGAAGGTTACTGCAAAATCCCCATTCCTTCCCCACCCCACTAACCTACTTTCCAGCTCCGTTCTCCTGTGCAGGGCACCTAAAGAAGACCCAGTCGATCAGTTGGGACTCAATGGGAGGCAGAGAATAGATGGGGGCGGGGCCAGATAGAGGTGGGATTTGCTGGTTCTCCCAATTACTCAAAATGTCCGCTACCAGTTCTCCAGAACTAGTCAGAACCTGCTGAATACCACCTCTGGTCTGAACTTTAAAAAGTTCAATCTTGGAAATAAAATGCCCTTTGCTCATTTAGCTACCAATGTCTGAAGCCAGCCGGTATCTGAACTAATACAGTAATTCTTTCATAGAGAATGGCTATTTCATATTTAAAGCATGTTCATGTAAAACACACCAAAGCAGGGCTTTCCAACCTTGGCAACTTTAAGACTTGTGGACTTCAACTCCCAGAATTTCTCAGCCAGCTTTTCTGGGAGTTGAAGTCCACAAGCTTTGGAGACCCTTGCACCAAAAGATCAATTTACAAAGCTTCCTGCACTTTCCAGCCAGTTTCTGTCCTAAAATGCCTGTAGGAATGAATGGACTTTGTTTGTGACTGCCGTGTTTGCATCATAACTACCACTTCTGCTTAACAGTTGCCATAAAAAGCTCATAAAATCAGATCAGTCACGTGAGGGCCTCAATTTACAACTGTCAAGACCGATGATGGGAATTCTGAGCTCCATTATAGTCATAAGTCAAGGATCACTGTATAGAAGCCAACCAGGTTGGCTGTTGAAGGTTATTTCCCCATTCCCAATTGGCTATAGAATAAATAAAATAGAATACTAGAGCTGGAAAGGGACCTTGGAGATCTTGTAGTCCAACCCTCTGCTTAGGCAGGAAACCCTACACCATTTCAGACAAATGGTTGCCCAATCTCTTCTTAAAAACCTCCAGGGCTGGAGCATTTACAGCTTCTGGAAGCAAGTTGTTCCATTGATTGATTAATTGTTCTAACTGTTAAGAAATTTCTCCTTAGTTCTAAGTTGCTTCTCTCCTTGATTAGTTTCCACCCATTGCTTCTTGTCCTATCCTCAGGTGCTTTGGAGATATAGTTTTTATCACAGGTTGAGTTCAAAGATAGATGTAGGACACACGAATCTCTCCAAGAAATGGGAAAGGTAGAAGACTTGAGAGTTGTAGCTGAACCCACACAGTTGCTTCTACTGCTTGGGGCAGTGGCTTCCTTTATCTCACCCAAGGCCGGTCCTACCCTTTTCAAACTCAGAGTAGCTACTGGAAGCCCATCATTCTGATTTGAGCATGACGGATACGGGAAGGAAAGCTCACTCACCGCTGTCTCTGTTCTCAGCATTGTGAAGACAACAACAGCGAATGCAGGTCCGAAATGAATGTTCTGGGAGCTTGGCAAAGAGGATACACTGGCAAAGGTGTCGTAGTGACTATCCTGGATGATGGCATAGAGAGGAATCACCCCGATCTTATACAGAACTATGTAAGTAAAGGTGGGAGCAGTTTGGCACATGTGTTCAGCTGTTGTCTACTTGAACAATACAAGAGAACAATACAAGCAGGGAAGTTTGCTATGCTCTAGAATAGAATAGAAAAACAGAGTTGGAAGAGCCTTTGAAAGTCTTCTAGTCCAACCCCCTGCTTAGGCAGGAAACCCTATAGCATTTCAGACAAATGATTATCCGATCTCTTCTTAAAAACTCCCAGTGTTGGAGCATTCACAGCCTCTGGAGGCAAGTTGTTCCACTGATTAATTGTTCTAACTGTCAGGAAATTTCTCCTTAGTTCTAGGTTGCTTCTCTCCTTGATTAGTTTCCACACAGGAGTTCTTGTCCAGCCTTCACATGCTTTGGGGAATAATTTGACTCCCTCTTCTTTGTGGCAGCCCCTGAAATATTGGAACACTGCTATCATGTCACCCCCATTCCTTCTTTTCATTAAACTAGACATACCCAGTTTCTGCAACTGTTCTTTATATGTTTTAGCCTCCAGCTGCCTAATCATCTTTGTTGCTCTTCTCTGCACTCTTTCTAGAGACTCAACATCTTTTTTACATCGTGGAGACCAAAACTGGATGCAGTATTCTAAGTGTGGCCTTACCAAGGCATGATAAAGTGGTATTAACACTTCACATGATCTTGATCCTATGACATCAGCTGGCTTTGCGTTATCTCAGCAGAAAAAATCAAGGCAGTTATTCTGGTAGCGAATGAAAATAAATATATGTGTCCTAGGATAGTGTCACAGCATTCAATCTTGAATCGTTCACTGGGATCAAAAGTATATTCTACCAAGCTGTTGGGCTCATACTGCAGCCCATCATCAGGGATTTTCTCTGCTGCCACAATATTCTGGTAATCCCCATAACAGAAGGAGGAATGGAATAGGGTCTCACTCAGGACCCTGCAAAGGGTCTATAGGTTACTTCGGTCACCTAGTCTCAGCTGTGTTCCCATAACAAGGGGATGTTAGAACAATTGCTTTAAGAATACCCAAGTTTGGAGTTTTGACCTCTTTTCTTTCTCTATCTTTTTTTCCCCGTGATAGTGTATTGTTGTTGTTAGTTGCGAAGTTGTGTCTGACCCATCGTGACCCCCTGGACAATGTTCCTCCAGGCCTTCCTGTCCTCTACCATCTTCTGGGGTCCATTTAAGCTCATGCCTACTGCTTCAGGGACTCCATCCAGCCACCTCATTCTCTGCCGTCCTCTTCTTCTTCTTCTGTTGCCCTCAATCTTTCCCAGCGTTAGGCTCTTCTCCAATGAGTCCTTCCTTCTCATTAGGTGGCCAAAGTATTTGAGTTTCATCTTCAGGATCTGGCCTTCTAAAAAGGAGTCACTGTTGATTTCCTCTAGGACTGACCAACTGGATCGCCTTGAAGTCCATGGGACTCCTTGTGTAGAGGGAGGCAATCTTTGAATGCAAAGCAATCAAAAGTGCTTTGGATCTGATATGGGCTCCCCCTGTCTTTACGTTCTTGTTTGAGTTAAGGAAATGGCAACAGGACAGCAATAGAGCACACAATCACTGGTTACCTCTATAATGCATCTGAAACAAGTATTTTCCTGAACTTGGACAGCTGCAAGTCTGGGAAAAGGTGCCATTATTTCAAGGAGCTGATGACTGGCTAAAAGAGAAGGTCCACACCAGCCCCAAAGGACTTGGTTTGATTTTGATTCCAGCACTACACACCTCTTGTGTTGTTCTTCTAGCTTGGATATTTGAGGGCGGTGAACTTCTCTGAGAGTCTCTTTCAGCTCAAGAAATCAGTTTTCTTTTTACAAACTGCTTTGAACCAGTAAATAAACAAGCCAGAGAATGGCTCCTCCTGTTGAATGCAGCGAAGCTTACTTTTAATTAACTCAGTGTAGGCCTTACTTTTAAATAATCCAGTGTAAGTCTGAACAGACCTCAATGCAGAGATGAGAATCCTGTAGAAAGCTTCTGAGATCTTTGGAGTTAGAGCAAGGTTATAAGTAGAGCGAGAAAGAGGCTTTACAGAATACAGAATAACTGACTTGGAAGGGACCTTGGAGATCTTCTAGTCCAACTCCCAGCTCAAGCAGGAGACCATTCCAGACAAATGGCTGTCCAGTCTCTTTTTAAAAACCTCCAGTGATGGAGCACCCACAACTTCTGAAGGCAAGCTGACCCACTGGTTAATTGTTTTCACTTTCATGAAAGTTCTAGGTTAGATCTCATTTGATAAGCTTCCTTCCATTACTCCTTATGTCTTGTTTCTGATTTGTTTTTAGTTGTGCTTTATGTTATTTTTTTCTTCGTTTAGGATCCCCATGCAAGCTATGATGTCAATGGAAATGATGAAGACCCAACTCCGCGCTATGATCCAAGCAATGAAAATAAGTGTGTTCCATTCCCTACCTACCACTCCCCATTAAGAATGGAATTGGGCTGCCTTTTATTTTGTGCCTCTGTTTTTGTAGTTAGCTAGTGAAGCATTTGCCTATTGGCCTGGAAAACAGCTGGCTACTATGCCCCTACCATGTTTCCTGCTGAAATAACCTGCATTCAAAAGCCTCATTCAAAGGGAGAGTTTTACGCGTAAAAGGAAAATTCCAAATTTGGCTAAAGGGTGAGTGGGTGGGAGAATGCAAAGCAGATAATCTTACATCTGTTTTGCATGGTGTAGCCATGTGGCTCTGTGTGGCTTGCCAAGCTGAAAGTCTTAGCTAATGTGAGATTTTTACAAGGACTGGGTGCGGGGAGGTGGGCGGAATGGAGAAGGGACAAGCAATCAGTTTCAGGTTGCTATTATATTATATATTTTAAGCAAGGATCATTAGCTTTTAGCAGCTGTGAATTGAGCAAGAGATTTCTTTCTTCTCACTGATAGCAGCTCTTGTCTGTTGAAGTGTTCCACTAAAGCGTTCATACTCCGTTACTAGAAAAAGATGATGACCCTATTCTTAGGTTTAGGTCCACAGTAATTAGGGAATTGGTTCAGACACAACCTAGCATTAATTAATGCTAGTTTGTACTGTCTAAGGGAATAAAACTGAACAAAGAAGAAAGATAGCAATTTAGCCCTTAAGAGGCTTGCAGTCTTAAAGTAGACACAAGAAAGAAAGACAGCGTAAGGAACAGAACCAATGGAGCATACAGGGAGTCCTTATTTAATGACCATTTGCAAACTTCCTGAATTTTCAGACAGAAATGCCCACAAAGGCGTAGAGTTTTGGGCATCAGTGGGCATATTTAAAATGTGAATTGGGTTCTGGGGAAGGGCTCACCCATACGTGTAAAATAACTGCTCTCTGGGCCATAACCAGCTACAGAATATACAATTAGCAAAATGTGTATGGAGATTCTCAGTTTTCCAGGTCACAGTTGTCCCAAAGGTGCTTTTTCAAAGGCAACTGGACTTTCTTGTTTTTCCTCGAAGAAGTTTCGCTTCTCATCCAAAAAGGTTCAGTTCTGACTCAACAATGAAAGATGGAAGGATTGATATTCCTTGTAGTCATCTGGTCATTACCACTGTTTCTGAGAGTCATTGAGGCCACTTGTAGCTCTCTCTCAACAGAAGGGGGGGGATACGATACCACCTATCTCCTGTTTGTAACATAGTCCTTTCAGCAGTTCCAAGAAGACTCTACAGCCATTTGCACTATTCAGGTGTCCTCTGACGGCACAGATGAACCTCCAAGTGGCTTCAAGGACTCTCAGAAAGAGTGTTAAAGATCAGATGACTGCAAGGAATATAAATCCTTCCATCCTCCGCCATTCAGTCAAAATGGAAGAAGCTTCTTGGATGAGAAGCAAAACGTCTTCAAGGAAAAACAAAGTCCAGTTACTTTTTGGAAAAGCACCTTTGGGACTCCCTGTTTAGCAGTTCAGTGTCTGCTACTTTCCTGCAAGAAGATGACGTAATGGTATGTGGAAAAGACCTTGCAAGAATTGGCAGAGAGGTGTGCCTACTAGTGAGTGGTCAGATAAGAGGGGCATGGCCCTCAGCTGCCTAATGGGTAGAACAAGAAGCTCAGACGGTACCTTGCTTAGTTTTTTGGGCTATAAAAAAAAGCAAGAGAACTCTATTTTTATACCTGTTAGATTCTTTACAGCAAAGTAGAACTAGCCTCTCTGATCATATTTCCTGGCCTGTAAGGCTGACAGATGCTTCCTCCTAATTTTCTTTTCGTCTTTTTCTGGAGAATGGGGCATAAACTCTACCCATTACATTTATCAAGAAAGTTTACAGGGGTCATTCAAATGTGATTTGCTTTGCAACTTGCTACCTCACTATTTTTTTTTTAAAGTTAAATATATTAAAAAGTTTAGTGGAGCAGGAAACCTGGCAGGTACCAAGGGCATTTACCTGCTTCTGAATGCCTGTGTTCAATCCCTCTCCCTCTCCCTTTCTCCCTCTCTCCCTCCCTCCCTCCCTCCTTAGCATTTCTATTTCTTAAAAGCAATTCTGCAGGCGGATCAGCCATTGGAACAATAGTTTTCAGTCAGGGCATCCATCCAAACTATAGTTGAGCCTCATTAACTATAGTTTGGTGTGCAATCAGAAATAAGATGCTACAGTTGCTTAATAAAGTGTAGAGAGACAATTCCCTAGGCTGGATTGGGATGGGGTGGTGTTATTTTGTGTTGAATTCTGCAGCTGTTTGGCTGCCCTGCAAATATAGTTCTCCAGAGTTGCGAGTCTCAGCTTGGTATGAATGCTCTCTTTCTAAGATCAGCCTTTCTCTCTTCTAATGATAGTAATCCTCTGAGCACTTCATTAATTGAGAGGATTAATTATCAAAAAGTTTGACGCACTTTTGAAACTTTTCTGAACACAGGCTGCCACTTTAATGAATACCAGAAGGCAGAAACGTAACTCAATAATTCCCTGGACATGCGTGTCCTTGATTTTCATAGAATGCCTTTGCCATCAGAAATTTACTTTACCTCTGTCTAGCTTTATTTATAATACATGCCATGGTAATGAAAAGTAGCTCTGAATCAGAGTCCAGAGTGGCTTCAATTACCTACCACCCAGAACCCAAACATTGTAGCTCGGCACACCGTGAGAGCCTCAACATAGATGAGCAGGCTGAGCTGGAGGGTGGAGTTAAATATGTCATCAGTTTGGAATCATTATGCAGCCACAAGAGACCCAAAGTGACTCAGAGATATCTGAACAAACAACATTCAGATTAATTTGCATCTCATACAAAGGTATTTAAAGACCTCTATTCTGACGGACAAGCACAACTCAAAACACACTGATGATGTCTCCTCGAATGGTGATGAAACGTTTGCAACCTAATTGCCAAGCTTGGAGTTCAAACCAACAACCTAACAAGAGACCCAATGCTCCCCCCACCCCCACCCCCATGAACTCCACTGATCCTTATTTAGCACCAATTTGACTTGACTGTTGAGTAGACCAAATTCTTGTGTATATGTAGCTGCAAAAAAATCTCCTGAAGTGCTTGTAAATCAATTCCTGTTCCTGGTTTCTGACAGCCAGTGTGTCTCTTTGTGTTCTATGAACCAAACCAATTGAGTTAATTTGGCAAACCATGGCAAAGATATTTAGTTTCTCTGGAATCCTGATTTTCTGAAAAGTCAGTGTGATGACCCAGGGTGGGATTCAAAACAAACACAGTCAGAGAAAACAGGTGAAGCCCCTTTTATTCCTTCACTTTGCTTCCAAGCTCCAAATATTCTTGATGGAAGCCAAATAAACCTCCTACACAAACAGTTACAAGAAGAAGGGAAAAAGCAACACAAACCAGGCAAGATAAGGGCTGGAGGATGTCCACAGATAACACACTGGGAAGGACACCAAACTCAGAGAGGAATAATAAACTGGAGATATTTCCACGCTTTGTTTCCAGTGTTCACCCGTACGCAGCTCTGTCCTCTTATTCAGTTGTCACAGCTGCAGCCCATGAAAAGGCCCTCTCCTCCTGAGTAGACCACATCTTTCCCTTATCCTCTCCTACCTGTGTGCCCTAGGATGGAGAGGGGATGGGCCTGGGTCCTCCTCTGACTGCTCAGCTGGCCTCTGCCCTTCCCCAGCCTCCTCCACAACCTTTGGAGCCACACTTCCACTCCTGGTTGGCTGTTCCTCCTCTTCCTCAGAGTCAGTCTCCACCAGGGGCATGAGAATCAGGATCGTAGGATGGATTTTTCATGCATGTATAGAATCCCAAATTAAATGCATGATTTTTTGCATCTAAAAAGGTAAACATTAAAAGATCTAGGCTAGCTTTCATGCTATCTTCTATAGGCATGGAATTGAATTTTCCATTACATATTAAGAGTGATTTCAAGAGGTGAAGGATTACAGTCTTGAGCTAAATGTGTGTTAGATGCATTATTAAAATCAATAATAATGTCAAATGAATGATGAGCCCATTAAGACAAATCCAGGCTTCTTTTTAAGAGGGGGTGGGGGAACATTTACACAGCCTTAGCATCCTTGAATGAACACGGCCCCAGTGCCTCAGAGATGAAATAACAGGCTGTTCCTTTTCCTTTATTCTCCATCCCAAATAAAGCTTGCAGGGAAGAACAGGAGAAAAACTACTCTGATGGCAACTTTTAGTCAGTTCTCTGTGGCTAAATTCTCTCATTCTCTGTCATTTCTCTCTGTCCCAAAGGTACTTTTTTCAAGAGGCAACTGGACTTTCTGGTTTTTCTTTGAAGACGTTTTGCTTCTCCTCCTTCAGCTGAAGAAGCTTCTTGGATGAGAATCAAAACGTCTTCCAAGAAAAACCAGAAAGTCCAGTTGCCTCTTGAAAAAGCGCCTTTGCTTTTGCACCATAGACATATTCTCTCCCTCCCGCTCTCTCTGTCTCCCTCCCTCCATCCCTCTCTCTTTCTCCCTCCCTCCATCCCTCTCTCTCAACCTCTCTGTCTCCCTCCCTCTCTCTCCCTCCCTCCCTCCCTCTCTCTCTTTCCCCACTTTCAATGCATACAAGGTTTCTACTGAATTCTAAAATCTTTTCCGTGAATTCTCTTCCTAGGCATGGCACCCGCTGTGCTGGCGAGGTGGCAGCATCGGCAAACAACTCCAACTGCATTGTGGGTATCGCATATAATGCGAGAATTGGAGGTGAGGAAGAGGGTTCTTACAATATTCATTTATTATTTATTAATTAAGTTTATTTCCAGCCCATCTCATTTCAAATTGAATCTGTTGAACTTGAGAGGTACTTTTTTCTTTTTTTGCCAGCAGCTGTTCTGTGTAGAAGACTGTTTCATGAAAGCAGCTGAAAACGTAACATTTCAAGGATTCCCATTACTGTATTTGTCTCACCGTCTGTCTCTTTGACCCTAAATCTTGTCAAAACCAAAGCTAGTTCAATTAATGCCATTTTGGCTAACCTCTGCTATTTATTTTTTCTGCTATTTATTTTTTACAGTTTTTGCTAAAAACCAGCTTGGAAACATAAATATAGGAATATCCAGTATTTTTTTCTCTGTCTATGCCTCTTTTGGCTTCCTCAATTTTATAGCCCACTAGACAATTCCTTCTGGTTCCTCCTATTTTATTTAAGGGGATAAAACTCCAGTGATACCGGTGAATAGCCTACAAGAGGTGAATTGCCATTTTAGAGAGAAAGAAAGTGTCCCTTTCTTTCAATATACATCTCTTTTTAGCCTTCAGAAAGGAGCACTATTATTGCTGTTTTATATACTGCGTCAAATCCATGCTTAAACACACAGGTCAAATATCAAATATTTAGTTTGGCTGCCATTCACAAAATCTTACAAAATGCAGTTGATGTCAGATTCCTTCCAGAGAACAGGATGACTGCTTAGGAAGTATTTCTTTATTGTACAAAGGCTATATTGGGCAGCTGATGGGCTCTGAATGGGTGGAAGAAATGTTAAGGAATTATATGTCCAATCATACTTCAAAGGCTTCACCTCCTTTTTCCTCATGGACCCTATGAAGAGAAGTCTTCTCTGCTGTCTTTTCTCACTTGTCCTCATCCTATCTGTTGGAGATTGTAACATGCGCTCTCTCAGCTTGGTGGTTTTCTTGAAGATGTTTCATTAACCAAACCAAGTAACATTAACTCTAGTAGCAAAAGAACAATCAAGCTCAATGAGCGCCAAGCAGCCCTCATTCCAACCTTGAGCTACAAATAGTCTCCTTTATTGGTACAGTAACATGTTTACATTCTCCACATTCTTTTTCTCCATCTAGATAATTCCACAAGTTAGTCTGGGATTTTCCTCCCGCTAAAGCAGCCCGGATGCTTGGCACAAATCACACATGAATTGGCCCTGTGTTCTTGTTCTTGAAAGTGTCTGTTCTCTGTGGGACAGAGTAATAGGCTTTACCCTGTCCCTAGTGATAGCCAAGGCTCCTCTGCCCCATTGAATAGAAGATAGTTGTGTGCTGCCATTCAGAACTGGCTTGCTTTAGGAGGTTTTACAGCAACTGAAAATTATTTCAGAAGAGCCATGGTAGTGCAGTGGTTAGAATGAGTATTGCAGGATAATTCTGCTGACTGACAGCAGTTCAATTCTCACCCGCTCAATATTGACTCTGCCTCCCATCCTTCCGAGGTCAGTAAAATGTGGACCCAGATTGTTGGGGTAAACTGCTTAGAGAGGGCTGTAAAACACTGTGAAGCAGTATATAAGTCTGAGTGCTATTCATTCCTTCCTTCCTTCCTTCCTTCCTTCCTTCCTTCCTTCCTTCCTTCCTTCCTTCCTTCCTTCCTTCCTT